AAACTGATGACTGTAACCATCCAAATACTTTGGAGCAACAACTGCTTATAATTGCCTTGATCTTTTTGTTTTAAATGTGCATCTATGTAGGAGCCATATGTGTATGTAGTATATGAAAATCAGCATTCCTTAATAAACTCATTTGTATCTCAACAATTATACTGTATTTGTTTCCTTGGTAACAAATATACTACACAGATTCCTTAATAAGATTCTTAATCTGCTAGCAACTTTGTATATTGTCTTGCTTAATAATTGTTTTCTTGAACTGCATATTAGGTCTGGTTATATGACAGTTGATCCATATGCTATTAAAGATAAATCAAAGATAAATTATCTTTGAAAAATGGGATCCTTTCACAGATGAGAATACTTTGATACTGATGGGCACATTGAATGAGAGTATTGTATGGAATACTCCTCAGCAGCCCCATTTCCTTCGGTAGTTCCAGAAAATATTAAAAGATTGTTCCTCCAAGCTAAAGTGAGACTGAAACCTGGTCAATGTAAATGTTCATGTGCATAGAAGTCTTGTTTTGAATTGCTGAGAACTGTTTTAATGTTATATTTTATTGTCCCACCACCCAGGCTTACTGTATATTAGATAAGTGACCATATAATTCCTTTGAAATGAAAAAAATAAATATTAAAATAAAGTAATATAAAATGTGCAGTCTATTTTAGTATCAGTAGATGAGCTGGGCTGAGCTGGAAGGCGAGATTAAACGTGTCATAACTCTGGAGTCATTATGCAGCCACAGGACACCCAATTCTAAGTGCTTGTGAATTTTATTGACCCCAAACTTTGACTGTTAGTTGACCAAATTCTTGTGAAGAGATTATTATCTCAATTATCTTGTAATAATAAAATATTCTGTGCTTTGAACTCAAGCAATGCTTCTTGTCATTTGCACATGACAATATTTCATATAAAGGTACAAACGTACAGCATGTTTTGTCTATGTATTTTGCTACTGGATCTAAACACCATATGCTACTGGATCTAAACACCATAGCACCATATTACTGCTGTTGCATGTAGTATCACAGTGTGTCACAGAGATTAGGAATCTAATTATAACCTGAACTATTCTTCTGGAAAGTGAATATAAAATGGAAATAATAAAATAATATCTATAATGCAATCTCTTAACCTTATAGGATAAAGGCATGTGAGTGATGGTTTCAATACTCCTGTTTTCTTTTAGAAGAGAAATTAATCTCTTTAAGTATTAAATAAAATCAAATTTTAATAAATGGAAATACATAGAATAGTTTTGTTAGACCATATGAATGTAGTGGATCTGCTATAATTTGTGAACATATTAATTTATTGAGGATATTAAAAATGAATTATTGTGGACAAGCCAATATCATCTGCCTAAGTAACCAATCCTTTTACATAACGCTGACAGCCAAATTAATAAAAAAATTATATGAGCTGTCCAATAAACATGAAAATATATTTTGTTAAATCAATCTTATTTTAAAATAATAATATTTATGAACCATTGATTTATTAGTATAAGATATAATAGCTGTAATTTGATTAAAGAAAGCCTAATTGATTGTCCTTACCATAAACATTTTCTTAATTACTTATCAATAAATAATGGAGTCAGGAGTAAAACTCTTCTAATTGAAAATCAGTAAAATGGAAAATCTCTGGATTAAGTTAAAAAAAAAAAGCAAATGGGGAAATGTACCAACTTCAGGAAGAATCCAAAAGGTACATTCTCACTGGACTTTAGTCTGGCTTCAGTCTTTTCTCTGTTAAGCAAATACATTTTTTCTTAGCTTTTTGTTGTTTATTTATTTATAAAAATTAGTAAATAAATTATGGCTGTTGGGGGAAATATTAATTCTTTTAAAAAGCTGCTTGTTGTACCTCCCTTTTCATGCTTTTACTTTGTAAATAACATTTACTATTTGTATATACATTTGAATATGTGTGTGTATGTATACACACACATACACATACATACATGTATATATATGTATTTGTATATTGTCAAGCATTGGGAAAATCTGGGGATTCAGGCAGTTCAAATAAGTATAAAGATACATTGCAAGCTTAAGCTCTCTACAAGAATCTGAACTACTAACAGCCAAGAGAAATTTGCAGGAGATAAGAGTAGAAGGAATTCAAGGTGGGCTGGACTTAGATGTTTTGTGGGCGTGCAGGGACTCATACTAGTGCTGCATTTGACCCTCGAGCTCAGCCTGGTCATCTACCTCTATATATGTATGTATGCAAGTGCATAGATTGTATATCAATGTCTTCAATATCTCATATGATTTCTTCTCGTCCTCAAATATTTTTTTCCATTGGGTCTGATCTCTTTTCCTCAATCAAAATTAGCTGCAGTGTGCAGGACTAATTCTTCGGTTTTGCTCCTCTTCTGTGTATCATGGATTCAATCATTACATGATCAGTTACTTACAATTCTGCAACTGATTATTCTTGGTATGAGGTTAGATACTAAATAATAGCCCCCCCTTGTTTCCTTCCCTCACTTCTGACAAATGAAGCTGTCAGTGACAGCAGAGAAGGATTTGTTGGACCTTTGACTTTTGGCAGAGTTAGATTCCCAGCAGATGTCAGGATAATTGAAATCTCCTATTATCACTATTGCATGCCTATTTGAAAGACTAATGCAAAAAGGCCCCATCTGTATCTTTGGCTGTCGAAGTGATCTATAACAAACTCTGACAACTGTATCCCTTCTGTCTTTCTCCTTTTATTCTTAAACAGAATAAACTCCTTTTATTCTTTTCAACAGGATTTCCATGTTTTGATTATTGAATTACTGTACAAATGCATTTTTTCTTTACATACATTGCAAGCCCCCTCTCTTCCCTTTGTCCTGGTTTATTCCTTTTCTAAATAAATTGTAACCTTTCAGTGCCATATGTCAATCAATTAAAAGTTTTAGTTCTATCGTATGTGTTTTTAATCCAGGCAATATTTTTTCTGTCTACTGATTATGAACTTATAAAACATTTAACGGAAGGTCTACCACTCCCAAAATGGTTGGTCTATCAACAGGGTCTCTTTCCATTTAATTCATCATAGTTAATGATGATAAAACTATATATATGCACTTTTCTATTTTACATTTTTCTTGGATCTTTTTTTTAAAATTTTAGTTTTCTATAATTTGCTAGTTTCCAGAAATATCACCCAGTCTTTAAGTATCCCTTTTGCCACAAATGTAATATGCTACGTCTGCATTATGTTGCTTACTAATGTATTCTGACCTTTCTGTGTTTTAACAAAAAAAGGGTTTTTTTCCCTTCGTTTTACACAGATTTTTCAAATCAGACTGAATACTAATCCTTTTTTTTATTTCAGATATGAAAAGTATTAACTACCTTATTATAGAATTACTTTGAGGTAAGAGGGTCAGCCTATAAATTTTATAAAATAAAATAAATAAAATAAATATTCCAATATAGTGCTTATTAAGGATCCCGAGTGTTCTCGCTTCTGTGTCTGCCCCTCTATTTTTTATTTTTTATTTATCTTTATCTTTAGAGTAGAGAGTAATTGAAATTGATCCAAATGTATTGTTTTTATTGTCTTATATAAACTATATTAATGGCCCCATCTAAGCATTCTTTTAATAGTTTTACTGGGTACAAAATTGTTTTCTTGGTTTGGGATACAAAGACCTAATCATTTTCCAGAAAAATAAATTGCCTCATTTAAAAACCTTTATGTACTGTTTGTCTAAAAAAATTATATAAAACAGTGGCCCAATATTTCTCAACCAAGGCAACTTTAAGATATCTGGACGTCAATTCCCAGAATTCCCCAGCGATCCATGGAGAAATGGCTGAAACAGCCTCTTCTTCAGAAAGATCATCACAGATCTCATAAGATCTACTACTTTCACTCATTTTGCAATGATTTCGTGAATAACTGTTCTCTCAGTTTCCCTTATTTACCAGTTATTTCAAAAACTGACTCAAAAAAGTGTATTGAGCTTTCTTAGGGACATAGATGGTAAAAGTCCTGGCAATAGTTATGTAAATTTTAAAATTATAGCATTATCTTTTTATGTTGATCTTGCACAAATTCAGCTCCAGTCTGTTTGAAATTGTATCTGTTTTTCTTCAGTCTCCTGAGCCTACATTGTTCCTTTGAAATCTCCCAATATTCAATATTTGGCTGATGTTGGAGTTTCATTTTTGTTTGTGTGTGATTCTGTGTTAGGAACTCTTGTTTAGTCAATAATAGCTTCTTAATTTAGTTTCTTTCTAATGAATTCAGGTAGTTCTCCAGTTACAACCACAACTGAGCCCCAAATTTATGTTGGTAAGTGAAACACTTAAGTGAATTTGTCCCATTTTCTTGCCATAGTTGTTAAGTGAATCACTGAAGTTGTTAAGTTAGTCATACGGTTGTTAAGTGAATCTGGCTTCCCTATTGACTTGTAAGAAGGTCGCCGAAGGTGATTACGTGACCCCTGGGACACAGCAACCATCATAAATACAAGTCAGTTGCCAAGTGTCTGAATTTTGATCACATGACCATGGGAATGCTGCAACGGTTGTAAGAGTGCAAAACAGTCACAAGTCACTGTTTTCATTGTTGTTGTAACTTTGAACAGTCACTAAATGAACTGTTGTAAGTTGAGAATTACTTGTACTCTGTCCTTCACATTCCATTATTAAGGTAGATTTGTTTAAAGTTCAGAAACTAGCAGCCATTTCTGTTTAGATCAATGCTTTTTTAAAAACAAACAAACAAACCATTTGTCTTCTAGGTACTTCCTCTGCTCTTTTTAAGTTTCTCTAGAGACTTTGTGAAAGGTTCTTTGTTCTCCTCGATCTTTCTTAGTGTTTCTGAATCATGCTTTGTTTTAGCTTTCCAGTCAAGAAAATCCTTACTTCTTGAAAACATAGTCTACCACTCTGCTGTATTTCATAAATCAGGATTCATGTGGTCGAAAGTGTTCCAATTTTGTCCTCGATTTATTTTGGGAATAAGTATACTTCGAAATCTCACCATCTCTGCCCCAAGGTAATAAATTTTCTTCACTGTTAAATTGAAACACTATGCACCCGTACTTGACGAGACAGACTACACCAGAGTGTAATTTCCTGCTTTTGTTAATCTTCTCTACTTTCCCCTATTTCATCTGTTCCAAGCCTCTGCTGAATGGGGTTTGATGGGGGCTGATTTTTGTGCAACACGGAAGAAGCAAAACGAGTACTGTTCTCCCCAAAAGATGGGGGAAAAAACATTTGTCAACATAATGCAGCCATAGGAATGGGGCAGTTTTGGCTGCAAAAGTATTTCTCCCATCATTAGACTCTTCCTTCTATCCCCCAATCTGTCGTAACTTGAGTTGTATCAAGTTTTTTGAAAACTCAGATTAAGTGAATAAGTCACAGGCAGTACTTTAAGGTTGAACTTCTTTCTTCAATTGGTTTTTTATAGCAACAATTATTGATTTCCAGATTCCTCTTGTTCTGTTTGGAGGGCAGAAGCTATTTCAGCCTAGGATAAGTTGCTAACAACTGCAAAATTAAAGCTCTCACAGTATGGCGGGGTGAGCAATCGAATGCTATCATGTGTTTTTTTCCGGTGAGACCAGCCTATCAGGACAACCTGGCCTACCCAACTATGGGATGGAGCATATTGCTTCTGCTATTGCCTTTCAGCCCCAACACAAAAATAGTTTGTCGTGAAAGCGACTGCCTGCGAAGGGTCCTGGATTAGGGCTGAAAGGTGAAAGCAGAAGCAATATACTCTATCCCGTATTTGGGTAACCAGGTTGCCCTGATAGACTGGTCTCACTTTAAAAAACACTTAATCTCTCCCCTGGTATAGCCAACAAAGTGAGGAGAGCCCATGGCTTAGAGGTTAATACATCTACTTAATAGGCAAGTAGACCGGGTTCGAATCCCAGAAGGGTATGGTTAGCTGACGAGAGCTAAATAGCTTCAAATAGATGTATACTAATCTCCCTTTATTTCTTTGTCGTAAATATAAATTCAACACAGAAATAATGCTATCGTGCAATTCTGACATATTAGATCTCTACTGAATCTTCAGTCAGAGCTGAAGTGGTCAAGAGAGCTCCAGATTCAGTCTGGTCCAGAGGTGGTATTCAGCAGGTTCTGACCTGTTCTGAAGAACCAGTAGTGGAAATTTTGATTAGTTCAGAGAGCCGGAAAATACCATCTCTGACTGGCCTTGCCCCCCATCCATTCTCTGCCTCCCGAGTCCCAGCTGATTGGCTGGGTCTTCTTTTGTTGCCCTGCACAGGAGAACGGAGCCGGAAAGCAGGTTAATGGGGTGGGGAAGGAATGGGATTTTGCAGTATTCTTCCCCTGCCACACCCACCAAGCCACACCCACCAAGGCACACCCACCAACCCATGCCATGCCCACCAAACCACGCCCACAGAACCAGTAGAAAAACTTTGAGTCCCACCACTGGTCTTCCTCTATATGTCCACTGCTACTTCAAGAAGCTAAACTCTTGTAGGTCTTGCATGGTAGCTAAGCAGGGTCAGGAAGATATATGTTTGATTTAAGGAGGTATTGTGGAGAGCTGCAAGATGTGGTTTGCTTAAAGCCTGGTGTATTTGGTAAACTGAAGATCAACCAAATCCAGCCTAAGTATAGTTTATTCATATAGATCTATAGCTTGTCCTGAATCAAATTGGATTACAAATATCCTGTTTGGCAAGAGTTAATTCTACAGCTTTTAGGAAATGAAGTTGGTGGAAACCATATTTGTTCATGTACCCATAACGATTCAGAAGAAGTGTGGCTTCTGAACACCAATACACTGGGTACCTTCTTCAAACCAGAAACACAGTTTGTTGTATCTTGTGCATGAAATGTGTGCATGTTTCTAATTTTAAGCTGATTAAAAGCTGTCCATGAGTCATGTTGCATTTCCTTCCTGTCAAAAATCTGTAAGCAATTTCCAACTCATCCAAATATTTTGCAACCAAGTATATTATTAAGTAAGCAATTGAAGCATCCTAATATGCTAATCTGCTGAAAATTAAGATTGCTCACCTTCTGGGTATAATCAGAAAGAACTGTCTGGCATAGAAGTATATGAAAATGAAATTCTACTGGTATGAAAAATACTCCATTATGCCAGACGTGAGGTTTGTGAATTACTTATGTATGGAAGAAGTACAGCATTACTGTGCACAGAACTAGATAATTTATAGGCAAGGTTGTTATTAAACATAACCTTAATTTACATGAAATGTGTTATTCTTTAATTGGTCCTTTTAAGCAAGCTGCACCTGCTTTAATAAGCACATCATGTTTGTGTGTATTGTATGTGGTTTGTTTTTTTTTAAAAAAGAATGCTTAAAATCTGTTTCCCTTGGTTTTTGATTAAAACAAACAGAAACTTTATATAATCATATAAAGATTGTGTTATAGCTTCTGTGTGATTATCCTTTATTAAACAGATTGCTTGTTTAAGAAGTCAGTAATAGTTTGTATTGTTCTCTGATTGGTATGTAATGCCTGGATTTTTTCCCCCCACCACTAAAAGTTAGACTTTTCAGTTAATGGGAGTAGAGAGGCGAATAGGGTTATTAAAACCATTCTGAAATTTGTGTTCTTTTTTTTAATGACAGAACCCTTCCATTTCCACCCTTTCTTAACCTACTAATCCACTAAGATTTGCTTACCAGTGGTTCTGACAGCATGTAGACACACTAATCGGGTTAAAGGTTACTATTTGGAAAATGTGGAGTCCTTGCTCAGAAAGTGCCTGATCTGGGGGCTGAGAGAGTAATGGTGAGCTCCCTTAGGGCTACCAGAATAATATCAGGGAGCATTAGATGGAAGAAAAAGAGACAGTTTGGTCTAGTAGTCAAGGCACCAGACTAGAACATGGGAGGCCATGAGTTCAAGTCCTGCCTTAGCCATGAAAGGCCAGTCTCTGCTCTCTCCTCCTCTCTCTCTAAGCCCAACCCACCTCACAGGGTTGTTGTTGTGGGGAAAATAGGAGGAGGAAGGTACGTTGGATATGTTCGCCACCTTGAGTTATTTGTGAAAATAATAAAGGCAGAATAAAAATAAAGAAGAAACGCTAGAAAAAGACATAACAAACTTTTAGTCACCATTTGTGGGCCGTTCGGGTTCCTGCAGCCCTGAATTTCCTTTGACGGATAGAAATGAAACAAAGACAAGAGTCTGGAAAGCTATCTGTCCTGAATGCAATGGGATCTCCTGTCTTGGGCAGGGGGTTGGATTGGAAGACCTCTGTGGTCCTTTCCAGCCCCGTGATGATGATCAATGGCGGATTAAGGCTCACTGGTGCCCTAAGCACTGACAAATCTTGGTGTCTCCCTCCTTCATACATACTGTACAAACGAAGCCATAATCTTATCTTTGTGGTGCCCCTTTGGGGCCTGGTGCCCTAAACACATGCTTCATGGTTAATACACCAACTGCCTTTGATTCTGTAATTCTGTATCCCCAGGTAGCTGGCAACCACTCATTGAAAATGTTTAGCGGGTTACGAACTCATTTTGGATTGAGGAGTTTTGGTGAAAACTTTCTCCGTTGGCTGCAATTTTTATTGTACCATGGTAGTTTCTATTAGCTGGAGTTTAGAATTGGCTTTTAAATAACAGCTTTGATTATGGCATTCTTGAATTTCTTGCTAACAGTTTCAGGTAGGTTTGAAGTGATACAGGGTTACAATTTCGAGCCAGCATGGCTATTGCCAAAATCATCAATCTGGGAAAACTTGTGTGTGTGTGTGTGTGTGTGTGTGTGTGTGTGTGTGTGTGTGTGTGTGTGT